CAAAGACCACCAGCAATTACAACAAACATTTTCTACGCTCCCATTACATATTGTCAAGGAAATGGTAGAAATAGGCTGTTATGTTAACACATCTAATTAAAGGGATACTTCAAGCAACAAAACAACATACCTTTCTTGTACAGGTTATAGTGCAAAGAGATCCATTGTCACTGTCTCTTCTGTCTGTGGATTAACACTGTAGCAATTTGCAAAAACAAAAATGCTGCTGCTATAAACTCACCCTAGCTCGAAACAGACAAAGAGGGGATGCTAGAATTTGAATGGTGTGGCTATGGGTAGGTTATGTACATCTCAAATGAGTTTTCACCTCCTGCTAGAGGTTTCCTCAAATATTGTAATTTAAAAAAATGAATGGAGGTGTGAAAAAGCTGATAAAAACAACATCATGGATTCAAGTGGATTTTTTTTTTTATTGAGTTGCAATTGAATGCTAATTTATATATCCTACAAAACGATGTTATGTGATATGGGTTATGAACAATATATAGCACTCTCATTAAAACAATGGTAGTATTGGCTGAGAGTTTTTTTTTTTTTTTTTTAGTAATTTTCTAAACGAGGGAGGCCTCATTGCAGAAGCTGCAAATGTTGGTGGTTTGCATTAAAAATAGTACAAATAAGACTTGTTTACCCTGCCTTTCTTGCGCTGGTCTTTACCCTGTACACAAACACCTCCACTGGCACCGAAACATACCAGGTTTAGTTTTTGAAATTCAACAAACAAGTGGGAGAATGGTTTCAAGACTGGAATTAGATTACCGGTAATCTTTGCAATAGCCCCTGCCAACCAGCAGTCTGTTTTATAGTACAGATGCCTATACACATGTATTAGCGCTGCATTTATTATATGTAACCTTTAAACAAGGTACAGCATATTGAAATAAAAAGACAGTCAGGATCCTGCAGTCTCAAAATAAATATACATTTCTGCTAATTTCCTGTTGTCAGTTTTTTTAAACATTGGTTCTGGACAATCTATTCATATTCTTTAAGTGGAATATAAGAACAGGACAACATTATCTACTCTGACGCTAGCCCCTTGATTAATTGGTAAAACATCATAAAGAATAAAATGAGTTCTGCATATTTTCTTTCCCCAAAATATCCATTAGAGTTACTAGTTTAACTTGTTGCAAGAAACATGAACATTACTTGACAGCTGCAATGTAAAAGATGTCCTAGTGTAAAGCCCTCAAACTCACAGCACAGCTAGATAAGCCAGTTTAAAGAGTTGTGAGCTATCCTCTTCAAAGCCAGACCTCCAATCCATGAACCAGGGACCACCCGGGAGCTTGTTAAGCCCTATCATCACCTCTTAACGATTCTAACAGCAGCATTCTAATTGTTCATGTGGGTGGCCGCAGTTCGCATGATGGACCACGAGGTGGCGGCCATCTTGTTCCCGCAAGCGCAGGCAGCGGTGTTTGGTCGTCGAGTTCATGGAACTGTTTTCGGACACTAAAACTCCCGAACACTGCTGGACTTCCATCATAGCCTGCGTTCGGTACTTTACATCCTCAAAGAGTGCTGTTTGGTGGAATCATTTGTCGGAATGAGGTGCACAAGCTCCACGGTATGAATATTGACTACGTTCGGTATTTTGCATGAGACCATGCGTGCGGTCGGTCAAATTATGGTTTCCATGGAAATTCCGAACCCCTGAGCCAATCTTGGAGATTTTTGGATATGTTGGTCCCCCAGATCGGGGCTATCAGAAATATGACGTTTGTGGGGTTTTCATTGGTTTTAGGGGTACTACTGAAATGTTTGTTTTTCTGCCTGGAGATAATTAAGTTAGCACAGTTCTTGATCCAATTATATCACAGGCACAGGGGAGGAATTGTCTCATTTTGGGTGCCCCTTGCATGGGGACTTGCATAAAAGGTCAGTGTGGCTACCAATAAACCAGTTCTACTTCACCCTCAACACAGAGCCTTGTCTCGTGATTGTAGGGAACCGCTATACCAGCTACATCACAACTCTTGTAAGAGCTACCCTGCTACACTCTCTGGAGGAGGAGAGGTCTGCCCGCTGTAAGCTGGATCCTTGTCTTGGATCCAGGGTGAGTGGAAGATGGCAAGACCCCAGCCAAGCTGAAATGCTGGAAGTGGGGACTACGGTGCTGATTGTGTCTGGTGGAGTACTTGGCAGTGCTCGGTGAGCACTAGGAGCATCGATTGGCAGAGGCACCCAGTCAGGGTGCCAGGTGGTCCGTCCCATTCACCAGTTTCTAGAATTCTCAGTAATATTTCAGCAGTATTAACTTTCAATGCTTTTGCAAGTACAGTAAAACTAAATCGGCAGCAAAATCTAAGGGAAGACAATGAACTCATGATGTTAAACCATAGACATCTTACTCCTATAACAATTTATTAATAATATTTAGTATTAGGTATGTACCAAATAATTTGTGGTGAGGAGAAACAGGCTAAAACTTCCCACAATGTGATACAGCTAAAAAAATTAATGTTGTGTATCACCTGCATATCTCACGTTGGACTTTAGGAAATCCACCTGGGGGACAGAAATTCTGAGAAATCATATTTCTAGAACAATCCCAGAGTTCCCAGCTCCATATAAAAATTAGCACAGACAGGTGTTTTTTTTAATACCAAAGCATGAGTTTTGATCCAAAAGGACCCATTCAGAGCTGGGAATTCGGGGATATTTGATGAAACATGATTTCTCAGAAATTCTTTGCCTTAAGCAGACTTTCCAAACTCCAACTTGAGATACGTAGGTCGTGCACAATAGTAATTTTCTATCTGCATCATAATGGCCTTAGTCAGCTTTATAAATGATTAGAAAAACTTGTGAAGTGATTTGTCTACAGAAGTCACCGTTTAAAGTCTATGGTATTTTTCATAGATAAGTCATTTGGAAAGTTTTCTTAATAGTATTGAATCATTTGGAATGTTTATTACATTGAGGCCATTGTGATGCAGATAGAAACATTATTTATACATCACCTGCATCACATGGATATCTAAACACTTATTAACCCTTAGTAGCACACACATGGGGTGAGAGACAGCATTGTAATAAGGCTGTGTAATACTGAAGCAAATGCAAACACACAAAAATAAGCCCTGCGCACAAACTCCTACTACTCTTGGGAGGCCGCAATGACTATAGGATTAATGAGACTTAAAGATTTGTTTTATCAGAATCAAAATTTGGCAGAATTTTGACTAATTCAGCGTAGTTGTGAATTTTAGAATTTTAAATCAAAGTTCGAATGAAATTCTTCTGAACTGAAAACTCAGGAAAATCAGTACCTTATTAATTCAAAAGAACCAAATTTTACAATCTTGTACAGGGGTCCTCAAACTCCAGCCCTCCAAGTTTTGCTAAACTACAACTCCCATGATTCTTTGAATTACATAGATAGCCAGAGAATCATGGGAGTTGTAGTTTAGCAACATCTGGGGGGCCGGAGTTTGAGGACCCCTGATCTAGTAGGCACTGCCACTCAAAGGAACATTTCACAAACCTAATGCACATTTGCTTGCTGAAGTGCAATATGTATGAAGAGTGTGTCCTCCTTTTTAATTTTACAATGTATTAATTTATGCCTAACAATTTATTAATTAAATTATTGATATGCTCATTGATTTGTTCCCAGACTGGCTTATCATTATGGTAACCAATCATTGTGACTGGCTCTCTGTGTTTGGGTTAGTGTTAAAGGGACACTATAGTCACCAGAACAACTACAGCTTATTGAATTTGTTCTGGTGTTCTGGTGAGTAGAATCATTACCTTCAGGCTTTTTGCTATAAACACTGTCTTTTCAGAGAAAATGCAGAGTTTACATTACAGCCTTGTAATAAGTTCACAGGCCACTCCTTAGATGGCTATTAGAGATACTCCCTGGGTCATGGCTGCCTAAAATGCATCCAAACATTCAGTGTATCAACCCTCTGCATGCAGACACTGAACTTTCCTCATAGAGATGCATTGATTCAATTCATCTCTATAAGGAGATGCTGATTGGCCAGGGCTGTGTTTGAATTGTACTGGCTCTGCCCTTGATCTGCCTCTTTGTCAGTCTCAGCCAATCCTATGGGGAAGCATTCTGATTTAATCAGGCTACCACTTCTGCTGATGTCAGCAGGCAGTGGGCAGGTCTAAAGGAAACAGGGACAAAGTAAGCAGCTGCTGACTTGAATACAAGTAAGATTTTACTATATTTAGGGAGGCATGAAGGGCACAGGGGGGCTAGATGGTGGTTTTAACCCTATAGCCTCAGGAATTCATGTTTCTGTTCCTGACCCTGTAGTGCTCCTTTAAGGTTAGATAGGGTTATGGCTACTTAGCTTGGTTAGCTAGGTTAAGAAATAACATCAAAGTGTAATGCTGATCAGTATGGGGACTTAAATAGTGCTAAATTGTCTTTTGGGGAAACATTTAGAGCATGTCTCTCATTTGATCCTATTGGTTTCCCAAAAACTCGCCAAACTTATTAGTAGAGTTGAGCGAACCTGGACTGTAAAGTTTGGGTTTGTACCAAACATTAAGTTTTTTGGACCCTGGACCCGAACACGGACATATCAGTGTATGTTCAGGTTGGAGTTCGGTGTTCGGCGATTTAATTGCGCGTTTTGAAAGGCTGCAGGGAAGCCAATCAACAAGCGTTTGACTCATGTGCCCTTAGAAGCCTTCATAGCCATGCCTACTAATGGCATGGCTGTGATTGGCCAGTGCAGCATGTGGAATCGCGTAGCGCCGCATGCACATGAGCTCTTATTAGTGTAGGGAGAGGATGCTGCAGTCCGGTGACCGGGACCGAGACACTGTCTGGGTGGCGGTCAGACGACCGAGACCCAGTATGCCTAATGTTGAAGTTAGGCGTCACAGTGTGGAATGGATTAGCAGGGTCTGGTGCAGGTTAACCGCACACCCCCTGGTGTTGAGCACCAGCGTTTGTGCGGCCACATACCAGGACCCTGACGCAGCTTCAGCGAGCAGCAAGCGATAGTGGAGTTTCAGCTGCGGCACGCACAGGTCAGTCGCTCTGCACCAGACTTGCCCTCCAATTGATTCAAGTTAAAGGATTTAGAGTGGACTCATTACAATTACAGGGCCTCGAAAGAGTAGTGTATTGTTATTTGTCGTCACTACCTCCCGGCGTCGGGAGTGGGTAATTTGCGCGCCTGCTGCCTTGCATGTGTTAGCCATTTCTCAGGCTCCCTCTCTGGAATCGAACTCTGATCCCCCGTTACCCGTGGTCACCATGATAGGCGCGGAAAATTGCATCGAAAGTTGATAGGGCAGACATCCAAATGCGTTGTTGCCGTCACAGGGATGTGCAATCGGCAAGAGGTTATCACAGACAAGCGCAGCTGCCTGTCACGTTTATTAAAATGAACCAGGCATGGATTCCACCAGACTTGTCTGTACCTTGTGCAGAATAGACATTTATACTGGCCTCACCCAGCCATTGTTATACTCAAGTTTTTCTTTTTTTATATGTCCCAATATTTTGGGGGTTACCCCAATTAAAAAAAAACCAAAACAAAAAAACAGTGTTGACTACCTCCTCCACCGCCGCCGCTTCCACCTACACCGCCACGGTGTATACCCAGATATATCAGAGCTGCTGCAGGCAAGTGCGGGCCATCTGTGCGTGCTTTTGGCGTTCTCACCCTGCTGCTGCTCGCCTGTCTGCGCTGCAGTGTAACTTCGGCCTTCTCGTTCACCGCCTCATATGCGACGTGCCCACCTTGCACATGCTGGAGAGACTGTGCGAGCAGCAGCAGGCAATAGCGGAGTTTCAGCTGCAGCACGTCATTCGCTCTGCGGAACAGCACCACTTCACTACCAATGAGTGGGCCTCCATGCGAGACCTGTGTGCCATGTTGCGCTGTTTTGAGGACTCCACCAATATGGCCAGTGCCACTGACGCCGTTCTCAGCCTTACTATCCCGCTTCTGTCTCCTTGAAAAAACGCTTTGGGCGATGATGGAAGAGGATGTGGCACAGGAGGAAAAGGAGGAGGAAGAGGGGTCATTTCCATGGTGATCAGGCCAGTCATTCACAAGCCAGGTACACAATTGTCCAGCATCTCCACCCTGTCCCATGGAAGCGTTCAGCTGTCCATCTCCCAAACACTGGAGAGAAAGAGGAAGTACCCCCCTACCCACCCGTGATCCCTGGCCCTGAATGCCAGCATTTCAAAATTCCTGGCCTTTGAAATGCTGTCATTCCGTCTAGTGGAGACGGACAGTTTTAAAAACCTGATGGCGTTATTGGACTGCAAGAAATGCACCACAGGCCGCAAATGTTTCTTTTTTTATATGTCCCAATATTTTCGGGGCTACCACAATAAAAAACAAAAACAAACAAACAAACAAATAAAAAACAATGTTGGCTACCTCCTCTGCCTCCACCACCGCTTTCACCTACACCGCCACGGTCACCGCCTCCTCAACCTCCTACTCCACATCTACCTCCTCCTCCTAGAGCAGGGTGCAAAAGTGGAGCGGCCGTCCCCTAGTCAGTACGCCTGCTACTGCCCACCGCACCCAGGGACCGAGCACACCAAAGCCAGCTCCAAGGAGTTCCCTGGCGTGGCAGTTCTTCAGACAATGTGCTGACGACAAGACACTAGTGGTTTGCACGCTATGCAATCAGAGCCTGAAGCGAGGCATAAATGTGCTAAACCTGAGCACAACCTGCATGACCAGGCATCCACATGCAAAGCACAAGCTGCAGTGGAGTAAGCACCTCAAAAACCAAGAAAAGTCTCAGGCTCTTCCTGCTTCCTCTTCTGCTGCTGTCTCGGCCTCTTCCTCCACCTCTGGAGTGACAGTGGCACCTGCCAGCCCGCAAACAGAGGATGCGGTAGCAACACCACCACTTCTGCCACCATTTCCAAGCATCTCCACACTGTCCCATGGAAGTGTTCACCTGCCCATCTCCCAAACACTGGAGAGAAAGAGGAAGTACCCCACTACCCACCCGCGATCCGTGGTCCTGAATGCCAGCGTTTCAAAATTCCTGGCCTTTAAAATGCTGTCATTCCGTCTGGTGGAGACGGACAGTTTTAACAAGCTGATGGCGTTATTGGACTGCAAGAAATGCACTGCAGGCCGCAAATGTTTCTTTTTTTATGTGTCCCAATATTTTGGGGGCTACCTCAATTAAAAACAAACAAACAAAAAAAACAAACAAATAAAATACAGTGTTGGCTACCTCCTCCACCTCCCCCGCCGCTTCCACCTACACCGCCATGGTCACCGCCTCCTCAACCTATGGGTCACTTAGTATAAACTATGTACACAATAGCAAAGGCTTGTGAAGGCCTTTTCTCCATGCATTAGGAGTTGAGCTCAATTTGAACAATGAAAGAGAATACCATGCACTCCAACCCTCTCTCAAATTGATAATTCTGGTGTTCCTCCTGACAGCCATATTTTAGATTTTGATTTATGTTCTTCCAAAGCTAAAATCAAAGATTCCATCTAGTGCTATTTTATGGCTCAGCTGTATTTTTAATTTTTTATGTATTTTATGTTATTTTAAGTGATTTCCCTATCCACATTTGTTTGCAGGGCACTTGTTCTACTCTTACCCCCATTTTACTTCCTTTTGCAGCCCTCTAGCCCTTTCCAGGACTTTTTTAGAGCCATTTTTGTGCCCAAAAGTTTGGGTCCCCATTTTTTCCAAAGTTTGGCCAAACCCGCCGGACCTGAACATCCATGTGTCCGCTCAACTCTACTTATAAGTGTGCAGAATACTGTGGCAGAATATTAATCTAGGATTTATGAAGTAATATGGCCTGTGAAATTCACAATTCAATATGTATGTAAAAAAAACATAAAACAAAACTTACCTCTGAATTAGGCAGAAATTGGTGAAAACTCAAAATAGTTATATTAAATGCATTTTAATGACAGGACCAATGAGCACACTTAATTTTTTTAGTTGAACTAGAAAGTAGAAAATTATTTTGCGCAGAAATTATAAAAGCAATTTAGAAGCAAAACAGTGAAGTATGTTTTTTTTTCTCCCCCCCCCACCCCCTCATATTTGTAATATTTTATTCATTATGCAATGTAGTTGTATGCATACATACAGGATATCATATGAATGCCCTTTGCAAATTGATAGATAATTGGTATTGACTCACATAAAGAGAGTGTGTTAAATTACAATGGAACAAACACATAGTAAACAATCCGTCAGTCAGGAAAGGACAGAGTTTTGGAAAAGGTTCCTTCATGACAGAGTTAAAACATTGTTTATGTTTTGTTGCTTGCATAGGTTCCTTATATAAAATTAGAAAAATAAAAGAATGCTTTATTGTTGAAATATAAAATGAATACTTTGTTAATAAACATGTATGTGGTTTATTCACAAAAGTCAGAAGTGCAGTCAATTATTATTTATCTGACTAGTAGTGCCAAGGCTAAAATAGCTGATTTGGACAAATTCTCCAACTAGCGGTAGTCACAGCTGATATATCTGAACTAGCTTCAGAGTTGCCATATGTCATTTTTTTCAATATTTCTTAATTTTCAGAATTTTGTCAATAGTAACATATGAATAGTTTTATCTGTACGGTTTTAGTCAGTTAAAGAAATGAAAATAAAATAACAAATAAATTGTATAAGTCATACCCATATTGGCTAACGAAAAGTGATATATTGAAAGCATTCAGGGTATTAAAGTCCCTTCGTCAGACATGTATGTAGAGTGAAGCTCAGGCACATTAATACATAGTTAACAGGACAAGTAGCTGGAGCATCTGGGTGATCTGAGGGGTTTTCTCTTTTTTTCTCATTGTTTTGTTATCAAATTTGATCAGTCTGCAATCTGGGATTTTTGGTAATAGATTAGGTTATAAAGCTTTAGAATACATAGGAATAACTCCCTTTCTAATTGTACACCCAATAGGCTGGGGAATTGTTAGTATTCGATCTAGGTTACATAAAAGCTATTCATTTAATACTATGTATAATTTATATATAAAAGGCGTATTTCCTGAAACTGAACGGATTAATGTAGAAGGTAATCTGTAGAATAGGCTTGTGGGAATAGGCCTGTGCGATGGCAATAAGGTGCATTTTAGAAGTAGTTGCAATTTATATAGTTACTGTGCTTGGTCCACAACTTTAAAACAGAGTAATGCCGTTATCAGAACTGATAGTAAAGTAAGGGATGTAAGTAGGAGAGGTAAAACTATATACAGAACTACCTGGATTTTAATTCTCTGAAATGTGTAGATTATTTTTGTTTGCCTATTGAAATGAAACTATAAAGTTTTAATTATATGCTGACAAATTGCTGCAAATTGGCAAAAAAAAGTTACTTGCTGAATTTTGCGTTAGAGGTAAGTATTACTAAAACGTATATATACAAGAATGGTTAAAGTAACACTACAGCATTAGGAATACAAATTCAATTTTGCAAACTGAAAACTCATTTACTTTCAACCTAATCATTGAGCCTGGGTGTATTATTTATGAAGTTTTGGTGGTAGCCACCTTGAAATTATATTCTGATGTTTCTAGTATTCATATTCAAAATGTGAATTACAGTGAATTATTTGGAGCTTCTGGCCAGAAAGTTCCTTGTTCAAATTCATGACAACCCAGATTGCAAACACAATAAATGACCACTAAAGTCACTGGGTACACGGCCCTGTAGTTTTAACATTGGCATTTTGCAAAATCAAAGATCTTTCTCACAGGTCCAACAAAAAGGACGCTGATGTCGGGAGCATCTGCCCTCTCGTCTACAGCTCCACTGAGTGCAGACCATGTGTATCTCTTGAGAGCTCTAGCTGCTGGAGCTTGTAAGAGATACACATAGTGTCACGACACTCCTTAGCTGATTTGCCCTCGTGCAGTACTCATACTCACCACTGTTTCTGTTTGGCACTGTTCCTGATTTCCTTTTATTAAGCACTTCACCTGGTCCTTGTTTAGCACCTATTTAGTTTGGTTTCTCCCCTCACTCCCTGCCAGATCATTGCCTTTTGTTTCCTGTTTCCCTGGTTTCCTTTGTTCCTGGCTCCTGCGTGCTGTGACTTGGTCCTGTGTCGTCCTGGTCCTGCGTTATTGTGTCCTCCTGGTCCTTCGTTGTTGTGTCCTCCTGGTCCTTCGTTGTTGTGTCCTCCTGGTCCTTCGTTGTTGTGTCCTCCGGTCCTGTGTTCTGGTTCCGTGGTCCCGGCTTTACTACCAGTGATCCTGTCCCTGCAGACTGCAGATGTCCCTTTATTAGTCTGGTGACTCTGGATCTGTGCCCTACCTGTTACTCGTGGTAGCTGCACAATCTTACCCTTATACCCAAGGACTATTACAGTATTTGTTGCCTGCATGATTAGTACTAATTTTGATTTACTGTATATATTTAGTGGCCTTGTGTGTGTGTATATATTTAGCGTTTTCCTTTGGTTTTCTGTAAATATATATCTCTTGCTTTATCCTATTTATTTGTGTCTTGGCATTTATTTCTCTGCTGTATGGGTTCCCACATTTAAAGTGACAGTGCTGTTCCAGGGCAGCACCCCTTCATGTCATTACAGAATGATCTGGCCATTTGGAACCAGCAGAGAATAATGTCCAGGATCACGATGGATAAAATTGTTGGTAATAACGCTGATTCACAGCAAGAGTATGCTCTCATTAAGACATGTTATGATCAGTTAAAACATATCCAGCGGCAGATAGAAAAGGCCTCTGCTTGTCTACTATAACTGTTTCTTTCCAAGTTCAGAAATCTGTATTATGTGGACTTATCACTGAACTGCAAATTTATCACAAACAAATATGTGACCCTTTGCTTTCTCTGCTACCTAACTGCAAAAAATGGTTGAGAAAACCCACTGTGTTAAATAGGGTGAATGAACTTCTTTGTGTGTCTCTTAAAGAAACATCACGTAACAAATCTTTATCGTTTATGCAGAAACAGTTGAGTTATGCACAATAATTACATTGCCTTGATTCCCGAAATTATATTTCTTATTGATTTAGTACAGGAAAGGATGAGTGTCTTTATGTCTGATACTGATGTTTACATTCCCTTTCCTTATTTGCATAGCATCTCTAATCCTCCTGACTCTGACTTGGACAAAAGGTTTGCTGATCCTCCCGACTGCAAAACCAAAATTCCTCATGAATTTAATGCTGAATGCCTTCCAGCCCAAACTGAAGACGACGATGTTGAAGGGTTATATAGCACTGGCGATCCCCTCATGGACCGGGTCTTTGATGAACTGGGTGCTCATTGCATAGCAGCTCTGGAGGACGAGCAGCCTGAATGTGGAGGTAGTACCAGTACGCAGTTTCCTAATATCTCAGTACCAGAGACCCGTAGTACCCTTATACCACAGTCTCTTTTCTGCAAGATCCACTCGCCTATTCCCAAAGTGAGAATACCGACTACCGAGATGAACGATCTCAACACTGTTCAGGAGGGTACAAGTCTGGTCAGAGAGTGTCTCAAGCAAAGTCTGCCCAGCCACGAAGCAGAAATAGACTCCCCTGAGTCTGCCACCAGAGATACTAATTCCTCCCTCACAGTGACAATTGAGGAGACCACTAGTGACCTTGACCAGGTGACTGGATCTGATCTGGAAGTCTGTCCCACAAAGGACAAAGCATTCAATACTGTAAGTGTCAACCCAAATACTGACTCTATGGAATCAGAGATTCCAATTTCTCCACCTCTTCCCAAGCCATCCTACAAATTTGACTCAGATCAAATAGACATGGCTGAGCCATCTAATACTGGAGACTCAAAATTGGAAGAGTCACCTATAAAATTTGCTCCAGGTGATGAAAGTGACGACAAGACTGGACCATTGAAATTGGAGACTAATCTCGTGGAAGATGATCCTCCTATCAAAAAGACACCACGTAGGAAACGTGGTAAACGACCTACTTCTTTCAAAACACCGTCTGAGAATGCTGAAAAACCTAAGGTGAAAGCTTCAGAGCAACCAGTGGAAGAAGAGGTTATTGTGCCAAAGGCAGCTCATGACTTTGATGTGGAGAGGCTTGATGATTCCAATTTTAACCCTTCTACCTCTGGGGGTTCGAAGATTGGCACCTCTCTCACAACCGCAACTGTGAAAAATGAATTGTCGCCAACTAAAGACTATTATCCTCAAATAGAAGACAAAGAGTCAGACTTGGTGCAACGTGACAAACCCGTGATGGATCAAGCCCAAGAAAAGGATCTAAATGAGACTGGGCTTGTTCTGAATCCACAGTCTGAAGAAGACTCTACAGTTCTATGTAAGTCTAATATTGTTCAAGTTACATGCTCTGGTAGAACAATTTCTCTGCTGCAAGAGGAAACACCAACTACCACACTTGTACCTGAACCAAGCGTTGAAGATTATTCAAATCAGCCGCTTAACCAAACTCCAAAAGAAGTGAGTGAAACCGAACAAGAAGGTAGCATCCACATATCCGGTACCTGTTCCCATGATGAAGGAAGCTCCTTCTGTGACATATCAGTTGCCATGATGTCTGTCACTCCACCTAAACTCCAGCAAGTATTAAAAGAAGACTTGCCTTCAGTTGAGAGTACTTCTATGACAAGTAAAGAACTACCTCAAGCTGAGCTCACAAGTGAAGAAGAGAATGATTTAAGTAACCAGGTATCTCTAGCCGTTACAGAATTATATCAATTTGAGAGAGAATCGTCCCTGCTTCGGCTGGCCCCATGCTCCGAGATATTGGGGGAACCGTTCCTTGATGCATATCTGCGGTCTGAGGAGGAGGGCTCGCAGAGTGCTCCTGATCCTGTACTCGCTAGTTTAGGGGATTCTCCTCGATTGATTCCAGTTGTATTTACCCAAGATAATGTAGAGACTGTTCTCCCTTCTACAGAAGTTGCATCGCAGTCTTTGTTCCGAGGATCTTACAAGCCAGAAACCAAGTCAGACCCAGGATTTCTGAGTGATGCACCTGTTATCAGCAATAGTCCCAGATCTAGTGGGTTAGCACATTTGTCGATCACTGGTAAGGAGTGTTTCTTATCGTATGTGCCTTTAATTTCTGTTTATGTGTCTGCCCTTCTAATGCTAAATGTTACTCTACAGTCCTTGCTCTTGTATGTTTCTATTCTGCCTCGTTGGTTTCTCCCGTGGGATTCTCCGCCTCTTATTCCTCCTGAACCTCCTCCTTGTTTTCCTCTACTGGTTGGGTGACCCTGTTTTTCTTCTGTCACCCGTGGGGGATCTTGGGGTTTTGGAGCGCCAGGAGTTGCTCCTTAAGGGGGGGTACTGTCACGACACTCCTTAGCTGATTTGCCCTCGTGCAGTACTCATACTCACCACTGTTTCTGTTTGGCACTGTTCCTGATTTCCTTTTATTAAGCACTTCACCTGGTCCTTGTTTAGCACCTATTTAGTTTGGTTTCTCCCCTCACTCCCTGCCAGATCATTGCCTTTTGTTTCCTGTTTCCCTGGTTTCCTGTGTTCCTGGCTCCTGCGTGCTGTGACTTGGTCCTGTGTCCTCCTGGTCCTGCGTTATTGTGTCCTCCTGGTCCTGCGTTATTGTGTCCTCCTGGTCCTGCGTTCTGGTTCCGTGGTCCCGGCTTTACTACCAGTGATCCTGTCCCTGCAGACGTCCCTTTATTAGTCTGGTGACTCTGGATCTGTGCCCTACCTGTTACTCGTGGTAGCTGCACAATCTTACCCTTATACCCAAGGACTATTACAGTATTTGTTGCCTGCATGATTAGTACTAATTTTGATTTACTGTATATATTTAGTGGCCTTGTGTGTGTGTATATATTTAGCGTTTTCCTTTGGTTTTCTGTAAATATATATCTCTTGCTTTATCCTATTTATTTGTGTCTTGGCATTTATTTCTCTGCTGTATGGGTTCCCACATTTAAAGTGACAGTGCTGTTCCAGGGCAGCACCCCTTCATGTCATTACACATAGTCTGCACCCAGTGGAGGTGCAGACTGAATACTCAGGACACTGGAGTACCAGGAACCGAAATGTATTTGTGCAATTTGTACAGAATTTGAAGACAAAGTATATTGTGTAATCACCGAAAATAAACATCCCTGTACTCTTTGGGCCAGTAATTGCTGAACACATACCATTACTTTTATATTTATATATACCTGATTTGCATATACAGCCCAAGAATTATAATTTATGCATGAATTTGTTGTTTCATCTTTAACCTGCAGCTAGGCAAAGTAAAATCTGTTTAATAATAATTCTACCAATAAGTACCATGACAATAAAAGATATCTATAATGCCGTATTTCTGACTTAAACGTATGTTGATATAAGTTATTCTTGATATGTTGAAATACTATGCTTGTTTCTACTGATGTTGTACATCCTTGAATAGGAAAGAGAGAATTATATTAACTCCTCTTTTGTTTGCTGTAACACGATAAGCTTTAGTCTTTTTTATATCATAGTGAACAAGTTCAAGGGAGGACACTGACGAGTTTCCCTTTATACTCATCAGCTGGGTATGTTGTGTTACATGGAGAACCAAGTTGATCTGCTCAATCTATAAATAAACCATATCAGACTGATCCAATTGGAAACAATGTCCCATATGGCACCTGTGACAAGTAATATTTCCTAAACATAGAATGATGCAATGATAAACTTTGACTTTACAGTGAACAGAATTTTGTAAAGACCTAAATATCCATGGCCAATGTCCAGCATTCTGTTGTGTTCCATTAGTAAAAAGGTGCCTAAGAGAGATACTGTAAAATAATCACTACCGGTCACATTTGCAGTCAAAAACCTAAAGGAAAAATGTAAAACATATCAATTGTTAATTCACATATATTGATTTGTTTTAAACTGAAAAACAAATCTGAAAAAAAATCTAGGAAAATGCTGTGCAAAAAATATTTTCAAATTCCTATACAAGTGTCGTGCCAAATTTATGACATTTAAAAAATAAATAAATGTAAATATAAAAAAATATTTTTAATGAGCGTTTTTATTGATGAAATATTTTTGGACAAACCTAAAAAAATGTAATATTTTGAAAATAATATTTTAATATTCTAAAATATGTTATATATTATAAATATATGTTATGTATTTTTGATAATTTAATATTTTGAAAACAAATATGTGAAAATTTTATCCAAAAATATAACGTAATTTGAAAAGCTTATCCAAAAATATTAAATTGAGGACAAAGTCTTTACCTCCATAACAGTACCTCTAAATATTTACAGGCAAAGGAGATGCTTTCCTATATTTCTGTGAAATTTTTTAAAACTTGCCTGTATCAAGCTGATCAAGTGCAGCTTTTTTGTGATCTACAAATGAAAATTAGCAAATTCTTTAAAATAATTTTAAAAATATTTCTCGATACCAGACCTAACTTCAAAATCAAATTATTCTAGGATAAACTATTAAAATGATTTAATATTTTAAAAACAACTTTTTATATATTATAATTATTTCTAAATACTAAAATATAAAAAAAAATCTATAAATATATCAATATATCAAAAAGTATGAAAATATTAAAATATGAATTGTTATTTAAAATATTAGATCATTTTAAAATTGTAGCCAAAAATATGAAATCCTCTGAAAAGCTTATCAGAAAATATTACATTTAGGCTGCTGTGTCTTACTTTCAAAAAAAATGTTTTAAATTTAATATTTTTCTCCTTTTTGTCCTCAATTTAATAAACTGAATTCCCTCTGCACAAAGCAAGAGCATGTGATGGGTAGTTAAAAAAATAAATACATAATTAAAAATAAATAAAAAAATATACATATACGTATGTATGTTTTTCATCAATGGGTCTACTCTATGGGCATAGAGCTTCAGCTCCTTTATCCCCTGTGTTAATCTGGCCATGGATTGATGTTGTACATAGGGCATGGTATATGCTGGGAATATGGGAGGGGCTTAAGTTAACCTATATGGGATGGGGTATTACATTTGGATGAAGCTCCTGGTCTATTAACCAACTAGCAATGGCCCAACCTGCTGCCAGTTCTACTGATAATGTTCTTGATACAGACAGCAGGTGCTGGGATATAAGGACATTAATGAGTCACAGCCTGCCATTGCAAAGCATGCCAGGATGATCAGAAAAGAAATGCTACCTGCCTGGTGGATACTGGACACTAGAAATAGTAGTGATTTGTAAATTCTTCCTGATATCTCTCTCTTCAATGTTGACAGAGATGAACAGCAAGGGACAAAATTAGCCTAATTCAATAAAAATCACTAGTATGTGAGTCATAGGTTGTTTGTGAGTATGTTTGGCTAATTAGGCGGGCATTAGTGATGTCCCGAACTGTTTGCCGAACGGTTCGCGAACGGTTCACCACGAACGGTTCGCCGCGGACTCATCATTGAGTAAACTTTGACCCTGTACCTCACAGTCAGCAGACACATTCTAGCCAATCAGCAGCAGACCCTCCCTCCCAGACCCTCCCACCTCCTGGACAGCTCACTAAGAATGCAGCTTCACAATGGATGCTGTCCAGGAGGTGGGAGGGTCTGGGAGGGAGGGTCCGCCGCTGATTGGCTGGAATGTGTCTGCTGACTGTGAGGTACAGGGTCAAAGTTTACTCAATGATGAGTCCGTGGCGAACCATTCGTGGCGAACCGTTCGGCTAACAGTTCGGGACATCACTAGCGGGCATCAATATGTATAGCCAGCCAGGGGTTTGCTGGGGTCTTTTTTAGAGTCGTAACCAAAGTTACAGAGAGTTGTAACCAAAGTTTCATCACAAAGTCAAAAGCCATTGTATAGTCAATAAATCAATTTGGCAAGAAAGATACTTGGAAGCAGCAACACTTCCTGGTTTGACATTAAACACATTGTAATTTTATGAAAAAAAGCTTTATCACTATGTACACAAAGTATGAATAAAAAAGACAGGGGGAACAGAGTCAAAGTCTTTATATATTTTTGGACCTTGCAATGATTAGTCATAAGCTAGCAAGTGAAGGTAAAAAGTCATATTATAAAAGAACTAAAAATAAGGACGTGATTATTTAGAACACAACATGACATGTATGAATTAATACATACTCAATAACAGCAACACTGCAGGGTGTTGCCAAGTCAGTATTATGGCTGAAAAATTATCACTTTGATCACACAATAAACTGATGGTTTTCTCACTTAGTTGCTGTAATTAAAGGACAAACTATAGTGCCAGGAAAACATACTCGTTTTCCTGGCACTATAGTGCCCTGAGGGTGCCCCCACCCTCAGGGACCCCCTTCCGCCCGGCTCTGGAAGGGGGAAAGGGGTAAAAACTTACCTTTTTCCAGCGCTGGGCGGGGAGCTCTCCTCCTCCGATCCTCCTTCTCTCCTCCCGTCGGCTGAATGCGCACGCGCGGCAAGAGCTGCGCACGCATTCAGCCGGTCACATAGGAAAGCATTCATAATGCTTTCCTATGGACGCTGGCGTGCTCTCACTGTGAAAATCACAGTGAGAAGCACGCAAGCGCCTCTAGTGGCTGTCAATGAGACAGCCACTAGAGGATTAGGGGGAAGGCTTAATCCATTAATAAACATAGCAGTTTCTCTGAAACTGCTATGTTTATGAAAAAATGGGTTAACCCTAGCTGAACCTGGCACCCAGACAACTTCATTAAGCTGAAGTGGTCTGGGTGCCTAGAGTGGTCCTTTAAGTCAGAACTTGGAATGTGCACTTGCTGTGGCCCTGCTAATTTAGGTTGTAAACTTAATTAATAAGGTCTTTGCTTGGGATTCAATTGTTTTATTTAATATATATTTCAAGATCCCCCAAATCTTGACTAATGTTGAACTCTAATTAAAATAATAGAAATCTAAGAAAAGGACACTTGCAGACTGAAAAAGTCTTCATCTATGTTCACCCATAAAAAGGGTTTGATTATTATTTTTATAAAATGTAATCTTTGTTTATCCCTTCTAAATGTATGCCTTATGATTTTTATTTAAATTCATTGATAGTAGTTATTAATATTAGTACAGTTGTATCGGTTTGCAATGTTTGGGTTATAATATTCTGGGCATGTTATTAAGGACTCAGAAAAGAAATAAAATATTTGTAAGTAAGGCTGGTTAATATATCAGTCACAATTATTTCCCTTAAACAGTTTTTTGTAAATATTTGTATTAGCTTATCGTTCCCCACCATAAATACTTGTTAATGGAAGAAGAACAGGTGGTGTAAGGGATGGGATTTTGAATAGGCTAGTAGGTATGTATAGACCTTGGGACCCCTAATTATTGAGGGAGTATATTTTTATTATAAAGGCCATATGGAGTAGACATCCCCTAGACCAGAGGACTTGAAGACCTCCTAGTTCCATAATAATATTGCCTTCCACATTCTTGTGCCTGGGCAGAGGACAGGAAAGGCCAGTTCTTCCCAGTTAATCGTGAAAGTTAGGCAACTCAGTCTGCAGTTAGCATATTAACCTCTAATCTTTACGAAGAGTATAAATTCTCAGCAACCTTGTTAATATATGACCAAATAAAAATAATTTTTCATTGTTTAAAACTAATAAATGCACACATTTAGTAGTCATGATTTCTTGTCATTAATCTAATAGATATTACATTGACAACAGGATCTATTTTGAATAGATCCCATTAAATAATTTAATGTAATATATAACTTTGTTAATAGAAGCTGCTCGGGTCAATAAGAAATAAATAAATGGTTGTAGGCCTTTGACTGTTATTTTAAAACAATATGTAAGCTGTTTTATGATGGGGCTTACACAATTCCTGCTCAATCAAGCTAGATGGATCATTTCTGCAATTAACCTCCCTTTGTTACTTCGTGTCTGCTTGTCTTATTAATCACAACAATTAATATTTAGCCTTTTCCAGTTCTGCAGATGTCTCTGAATGCAGTGGAATATGTCATTAAGAGGCCTGGGAAACTTTCTGATGGAATTCCATATGACAATAGCGCCATGGTGACTTGGCATAACTAACATATGGCCAGGTCATACAGTGTGACAACTGACATGTAGTACAGATTTATGTTGGTTTGGTTAAATTCACCTAACATAAAACCATGCGTATAGCCCTTATTCAAGTTCAACATGTATACTGGTACACAGGTTTATATAGGTGAACGTCTGTTAGGTTGTGCAGCTCGGGATCCATATGCTCATAAGAAGCTGCATTGGACAGCTGATGCAATAGACCTTATCTGCAGAGTGCCATGTTTTCAAATTACCAGAGGCAAGACCTAGAGCAGGGTAGGCACCCTATGGCACGTGTGCCATGCATGGCACTCAAGGTGCTTTTGCACGGAACTCGAGGCTGCTAGAGCCAAACAGGCTCTGGCCTATCAGGAGTCCCAGTAAAACTTCAGATATCTGCTAATACGAAAAGGTGGTGAAGGACAATCCTCAATTTATACATTGCAACACGTAGAGGAAGTGATCTCAGATCACTTCCTCCCAGCACTTGTGAATGGGAATCCACACTGTAGTAGAGCAGCCTTCGACAGCTATAGCTGCTCCTGCCCTTGACATGTATATGGCCAGCCTGGTCCCCACTGGAACCCAGGGAAGCCACCCACACTGCTAGATATACACAGAGCTGCAGAATAACCTTCCCCTCATACAAATAATACGAACAGCCCACACACAAACACAATACACAATCCACACAAACTCAACACCGCTGACAATCCATATATATGCACACAACCCAACATGCAGTCTCTCACATGCAATGCCCCACACATACGCAAACTACGAAACACACAATGTGATATATCCATCCACACACACAATTCTACAAGCAGCCCCTATACACAGCCGACATTCATAGATACACAATACCACAAACTACTCATGAACATATACAATATATGTATATAGCTCATATACGCACAAATACAATGATACAAAGCAACTGCAATATAAATAACAGAAGCAGAATACAGCAACATGCACACCTAAGGTTAAAAAAATATAGGACGGGCACGCTATGGGCCATTACAATCTTATTTCGGCACAATGCTGCTAAAAGGTTGCCTACCCTTATCAGACTGATCCAGTTGGAAACAATGTCCCATATGGCACCTGTGACAAGTAATATTTCCTAAACATAGAATGATGCAATGATAAACTTTGACTTTACAGTGAACAGAATTTGCATAGTAAGCCATTCCATGAGGTATTACTCTTCAGATCTGCACACAGACACAGGCACAGTGCACTGTATAGAGAGTGTGTTTATAATCCACACCCAATTTATAGGACACCGTGCCTTGTCCAAATTGAAGTGTGAAGTATGTGCCAGCGAGCCTCATACGAACTCCCATCATATTCATTCACGCTTCCAGATTCACATTTCTATTTTATATATCATAAATAACCCACAAGTAATAAATTAACAAAATAAATGATACCAAGAATATTGGGACACCTGGGGTATATAATATAGGGAACACAATTCAAATATAATCAGTCACATAAGTGATACACCAATGTTGATATTCACATTGTTAAACTTAACACATCTGCTGGGAACACAGTGACCTTATGTCTTCTTTTTATATTTAACATATGCTCATTGTTCATTTCTATTTCAGAAGAACATTATTTGTATCATGTTTCTTCTTTTAATCTTTTTGTATAGATATAATCTTCATTGTCTTCAAAACATTTATCACTAAATATTTTAATATTTTATGAATTTTAGTGGATGGATTTTCATGTGAGCCGAAAGTCATTTCAACATTTTATTTGTGGCTTAAAGCAAACAGGGGATCAACAGGATTAAAAAAAAATAAATAAAAAAAATACACTATTGCCTTAACTTAAGGTTTTTAGGTAGATTTTTCAAATGAGTTAAAGGACCACTCTAGGCACCCAGACCACTTCAGCTTAATGAAGTGGTCTGGGTGCCTGGTCCAGCTAGGGTTAACCCATTTTTTTATAAACATAGCAGTTTTAGAGAAACTGCTATGTTTATAAATAGGTTAATCCCGCCTCCAGTGGCTGTCTCTTGACAGCCGCTAGAGGCACTTGCGTGCTACTCACTGTGAAAATCACAGTGAGAAGACGCAAGCATCCATAGGAAAGTATTATGAATGCTTTCCTATGAGACTGGCTGAATGCGTGCGCAGCTCCTGCCGCGCATGCGCATTCAACCGAAGAGGAGGAGAAGAGGCGGAGAGGAGGAGGAGAGCATCCCGCCCGGCGCTGGAGAAAGGTAAGATTTTAACCCCTTCCTCTCCCCAGAGCCCGACGGGAGGGGGTCCCTGAGGGTGGGGGCACCTTCAGGGCACTATAGTGCCAGGAAAACGAGTATGTGGTCCTTTAATGTTTGTAGATAAAATTTTTAAATGATTTAGTGTTTTGAAATTTTTTATAATCTTAGATTGTTTTGATAAATGGACATTCTTTAATATATTTTAACATATTTTAACATTTAAAGAAATATTAAACATGTAATTCAAAAATATTAAATAATTTGAAAAGCGTATCCAAAAATATTAAATCAAGGCCTATGTGTTCAATTTCGTCTGTTGAACATTGAATTTAAATTAAAAAAATATATTTTTATTACAT